GTGATTATCTGTGGAAGACTCGGGTGGATACATATTCACATTTGTCGAACCCAGAAGCAGGAAAGAAGAGCGGAAGTAAAAAAAAACCAAAAAAAACCTAAGGCCAAGGGATGGATCGATCATTGGAATGGGGGTTGGAGACGGAGGGAGAAATAGAGAAGGATGGGTAAACAGAAATGGTTCTCTGTTGGCAGTCTGCATGAGAAACAAGACTTGTCCTCAGTTTTTTCTCGATTTCATAAGGGAGGGGGACTTTCTTTTTTCAACAGTGGGATGAACTTCGGTGAGTTTTATGCTACCAGCTGTTTTGAGAACCTCACCAATGGATGATGTTTCAATATGAAGAGGGGGAGATGGAGGGAAAAGAGACAAATCAGAAAAAAAAACATTCCTCTGCTGTGCTCCCAAGCGCTCCTTCCTCCTACAGATCCGTCAAAGGCCCAAGGAGCAGGAAAAGTTGGTAATTGTGGGAATTTAGAACAAGACCGCCATCTCTCCCCGCAGGGGAGAATAAATAATGTTTACCAAAATGAACGGATTTGTCCCTCAATCCCCTTACCCATCTCGTGGAAGATTGGGGGAAAGGGCTGAAGGCAAGATAGACGAAGGGATGAGGTTTAAGAGGATTTTCAACTTCTTCACCCCTTTTGGTTTCACCTAGAATTGCCCACTCATACTCTAGAAGCAGGGCCCAACTAAATTTCTGCCCTGTCTAAGGATAGGCAGGGTCCTGTTTTATCTTCTTCCTCTTGTCCAACCACGAGATGCAGCCATGTTGGCTCGCAGTCTATCCTGTCTTCTCATCTCCTGTCTATCTGCCCTATTCGACCAACGCAGCATGCAAGGGGCATTACCAAGTCCTCCCTATCGGATAATAATCACAGCGTGTGGAGCCCTGAAGACGCCCAAATAAGATATTACGTCTCCCTTGCGATGCATTTAGGGAGGAGAGGGTAGTGAAAATAAGAATCAAAATAAAGATGGTAAAGCGATAACAATCTGTCTAACCATGCGCGGTTGAAGCAAGAAAATGGAAAGTATATTTTGTGCTCAAGCCTCTATCCTGGGACTTCCCTACCGGTATATTATCATGCTCGTATAATATCTTGCGGTACACGACCTCCTCTCCGATAAACTCATGCACAAATTCGAAGCGGGTCCGATTGGAATTGCGACTTGGCCGGATGAGCACAATGGGGGAGGGGGTGGTGGGGGTGGGGGAGAACAGGATTAACAGCCGTTCTGTTCCATTTGGAAATAAAGCATTGAGAAAAAAGCTTGCTCTGGAGCTTGTGATACCCGTACGGAGGTACTTCTCTCCCTAGCGTATTCCCTTTTTTTTCAATTGGAGAGGGGGAGGGGGGAGGGGAAGGTATGATATGATAGATAATGTTTTTGTGCTTCCAGAGCCCATTGAAATGGGGTGAGTATCATGGAGTATCACGCGAAAACCGCACACAGGATATCACTCATGCACTGCGTGGAATGAAAAGCAAATGAAATGGGTTCTTTCTTTTCTTTTTCTTTCTACTTTTCTTTTTCCTACTGTCACGGTAGATGTTGAGACATTCGCAGTGCACCCCTATGCGGAACTGCTGGTACTAGAGATGTGGGGCACGGTCAATCTCGTGTTTTACGGATGGCGATGATCTCCCCTGGGTTCCCCGCTGCTGCTGCTGCTACTGAGTGGGAGATACGCATTTGTAACTTTATTTTTATTTCATTTCCCCTTCCCACCAGCACCAGCTTTTCTTACCTCCTTCCAGGCTGACACCCTATATGTCCTTGTCCAGCAAAGCTCTCCCAAGAGCTGGTGGTGGTGGTGGGTGAAAGGGATATATGTGAAGCGCAAAATCTGGGGGAAAAAAAGAAACACCCTTGATGATCTGCGGAAATTGTTTGAATTCGAAAAAAGCTATATCAAGAGTGAGATTCCCCCATATGCCATTTTTCACCTTCATTTTTTCCTCCTGATCATCCCCTCTATAGCTAGCACTTTTTGTTTTCCTTTTTTCTTCTCTCTTCCATCACGTCAGCTATTCTCACACTCCCTTTCGGTGCGGTCCGGAAGGCGCTTGCCTACTCCCCCGTGTTTGCAGGCTAGGGGTCTGTTTGCCCATCTGCCTATCTGGTCGTTATTGGATCAATCGTTTTGAGGAGGGCGTTGCCTGTTATCGTCGCCGTGATAAGGGGATTCTTCTTGTTTTCTTTCTTTCTTTCCTCCTTCTCCCCCCTTTTGGGCAGGGAGGAAATCGGAGGAGTCGCTTTTCTTGCTCTCCGTAAGACCTACAACTTGTTATGGATCCCAAGTTTTCTACCATGAGTTCTAAAGCTTCATCCTCGGATTCTCTCCCGTGAGCTTTCCCCCTTTCCATTTCTTGCTTCCATCCATCTTCATCACCCTCTCCTACACAAGCTATCACTCCCATAAAGGGAGAAAGGGTATGAGAAGACCAAGAAAGCTAAGAAAACAATTCCCTGTACAGACCAATAAGCTCTCTGATGCAGCGTATTATGCACCCGCGGGAACACACCGGCAGCTCCCCGGAAGACCCATACCCAGCAAAATCCCACCTCTCCAGCGAGTCACCAAAGCTCCAACACCACCAACAACAACAACAACAACAACAGCAACAGCAACAGCAACACAGCCCACTGCCCTCACTGACAACACCATGCTCGCAAGCCCCGCTCTTCACAGACCAGAACTTCCACAACATCCCGGAGATAGACACTCTCTCGTATAGCCCCGTCTCACCGCGCACTCGTTGCCCATCGTTATCAGAATCCCTAATATCAAGCGGGAGCTGCCCGTCCCCGCACACCCACGGTCTCGTAACACCCAACTCGGACCGTGGGGGTAGCGGTAGCGGCAGCAGCAGCGCAGTTGGCATGGGCCTCAGCCTCGGTAGCGCAGTGCAACTCTACGAAGGACCAAAGCGGTACGAAGTCCGGCATGTGCACAGCGACGGTATCAGCAAGACCTATAACGGCAATAATAATCCCAGTAACAATCCAGTCCGTCCCTCGCTATCCTCCTCCTCCTCCTCCTCCACCTCTTCCGCGGCTTCCCACCACCACCATCACCGCCACCACAGCCACCTTCACCTCCGCGGCAGATCCCCATCGCTGAGGACTTCCTCCTCGTCCCACGACCACTCCAAGGACAAACTAGCCAAGCACGAGAAGAGGCGTATAAGCCACCTGAACTCGGAGAAGAAGAGGCGGGAGAGCATCAAGGGTGGCATGGACGCCTTGCTGGAGTTGGTCCCGGGGTGTAGGGATGTGAGGCTCAGCAAGGCGAATGTGCTCAAGGAGGCTAGGGAGTATATCCTCGATTTGAGGGGTGGATGGAGGGAGTTGCAGGTTGAGATCGAGCGGCAGAGGAGGGAGAATGAGGAGCTTAGGAGGGCAATTCAGGTTGGGCATGCGCAGGATCACCATCGTGGGTTCGTTTGCAGACTTTAGGTAGCCTTTTTTTTATTTTTTTATTTTACTTTTATCATAGTACTCTTCCTTAGATTATCCCGTCCCCTCTCATCTACTTGTCTGGTCGGAAAATGGGTCCAAGTTTTTTTTATTATTTTAGTTCATCTCATCCCCCCCTCCCCCCCCCTTTCCATCACCAAAGCAAGTTAATCCATCACTCTCAGGGACGGTAAGGGGTAAAAAAAAAAAGAGAAAAAAAAAAAGAGAGATCCTAATGTCATGTACTCTCACTCGCAGTTTTTCTATTGAAAAGTGTATTAGTAAGTAAGCAAGTAAAAGGTTTAATCTGTGGGCGTCACCTTGGGGGGAAATTCTGGTCCTGTGATTCCCATTCCCATTCCCATTCCCGTTTCGTATTCTCTCTCTCGATTCCCTTCTCAAAACATGCACTTTTATTATTATTTTTCTTTCTTTTCTTCTTACACACTTTGTCCTTTTCATCCTCAATTCCGTGACTTGACTCCTCCTGTTCATCCCTTTTTTTTTTTTTACGATACTATTATTTAAAAAATAAAATAAAACCCTACCGACCGTTGCATGGAGGACCCTAGGAGCGGAGGTGCGCGATTTTGGTGCGGACTCGGCAATATTGGGGTTTAAAGAGAGGGAGATAGGGTTTATGAATGATTTTGTGAATTCGATCTCCAGACATAGGGTTAACTTTCTGGTGACGGGGGATGATCCATTTATCAGAATGTCACAGTTGCTTTCCTAGTTTGGAGGGTTTGAAATGGTGCTTCGGGCCTGGTTGCCCCAAATTGGCCATTGTTTTGTGGTTTGTTTGGTTTATTTGAGTAATTTCTCATGTTTGTTGAGTGCTTTGGGTTTTTATGTCGTAACCTAGTGGTTGTACTCGAGTATACAGAAATTGTAGCTACCCTTAAACAATTGAAGGATTTAACAAAAAAAAAACCCCCTCTACCGATCGCTGCTGCTTTACATCTCCCTCCACTTCCTCCTCCTCCTCCAAGGAGATATTCCCTCTCACGCCAAATAACTACACTTGCCGCTCTCTGACTGTGCTTGCGCTGCATGAGACCGGTACCGGTACCGTACGGTACCAGTACCATCGCAGAACACCACCCAACCTTCAAAGCCAGCACTGTCACCACCGAACCGAACCAAACCAAACCAAATCATAGCCGACCGCCGTCACACGGGACGGATTAAAGAAAGAAAAAAGAAAAAAAAAGAACCCCCGAATCCGATAAGACATGCTATATACCATACGCTCCATACAAAAAACTCCGCAGCCCACCTCCCTCTAATCAATCAATCAAGCAATCAATCAATAGCGACAGCAAGGGAAGTAAAGTAAAACTAAACTAAACTTTCGCCACCATCCTTCCCCACAGAGGAAACCCCCCGATAACCCCTCTTTCGGCTTCGGGGAGTGGATTTGAGAAACGGCTGCACGAACCTTTTTTTTCCTTTTGTTTCTCATTTTCAAGGTTCATGTGGGTCCGATTGGTCGGTTGATGCAGTACGTTGACGAAGCTCAGAAGGAAGAATGGATGGGTGGATGGATGCAGGTGGTGGGGTAGGGCAGGGCAGGGCAGGGAAGGTAACTTATCACAAGTTTTCTCGCGGGAACTTAATCCTCTGATTCGCACACCCGTCTTGGTGTTCCCCACCTCGCCCGGGGCAGAGAAGTCGGCTGCTTCGCGCTTCATTGTGGGATAGATGGCTGGGAGGGGGGCCGCTGGTTGAGAATTTACCTCACATAGCGTTATTACAATATTATCATGACCCTAATGTTATCTAGCCAGGGCTAACTTGCGTTTCGTGCATATCATCATGGAATGGGTAAGCAAAAGGTGTGATGAGAAATGATCGTCAGGGATGTTAACAGCGTCACTTTGCGCCTGGATTGGGGTATTGCGCCATCTATTAACCTTTCGGTAACTTTATCTTCTTGGTTGGTGTTGTCACCTTCCAATTACCGGTACCCTGATATGGTTGCTTTTTGGTGGCTACAACGCATTGCTTTATTTTTCCGCTGCGGGGCGCTTTGTTAATCGGGGGTTTTTTTCTGAATTTCTGCGCAGTTTTTGGACGGGCTGACCCTGTTTCCTCGCCTCTTAACAGGAGGTTTTTCCCTTCGCCACACGAAAGAAAGATCCTCCTGCTGGGGACCCGGATTGCCGCTCGTGCTTCTTCAATGGTCAATTTTATTGTAGCTTTCTCGGTTAGATTAAGAACGGCAGATGCGGTAACCCAGGTATATATTCGCCCTATCTGCTTTACTCCAGACCATTGGTCGATTTCCGTCGATATACATTTCCCAGCTTGCGTAGGGAATTCCGCACAGCATCGCCCTATGCAAAGGCACCGAGTCCCCGACGAATAAGACTTAATGAGCATTCCGATCACACCAGGATATTGGTTGAGGCCTCTTTCCAGGCGTCAAGAACTGCCGTATCTCCGAAGCAACAAGGGTAACGCTCGTGTACCCCAATGTGTTGTCATCCCATTCGAAAAAAGGAAAAATAGGAAATATTGGGGATATTAGAGCCCATTATAACTTTTTTCCCCCCAAACGGCCTATTTATAGCTTTAAGCTGACTTCGTCAACCTTCCCTCTAGCCATACTGATGCCGGGGACGACCCAGTCCCCGCAAGAACACTTCAAGCCTTGCCATGCGTATGTCCCCACCTTTGACCTGCATTTTGGACACTCCAACTTTCCCGAAATTTGGCCTTTTGAAAGTTCTGTTTTCATCCAAAGGAGAGGCTCAACGAAGTGATGCGCACAAGGCTGCCGGGGCGCTTCGTTATGGGATGGCTGCACAGGCTTAGGCATATGAGGTGTGAAGGAGGTGGAGTTTGCTAGGGCGGTCCTGCGGGGGAACGTTTGTAAGTAAGGATGGGCATACCGTGACAGAAAAAAAAATCGGGCAAGGAGGGGGAATAGGGGATGGTATACAGTACATACCGACACTTTTTGCACCTCAACTGCATCTCACTTTTTTCTTCGGGAGTCTCACCTTCCTTAACCCTGGTTATTCTGCCGATCTCGGCCTCAGCATCCCGGAAGTGGATTCTCTCAGGAGCGCGGCCGGCTGCATTGCTCCTCTCTACATCCCGCAGATACATCCAGCGTTGATAGATGGGGTGATCCTCAACATCCACAGCAAATTTCATCTGATGGTAGAGCTCTAGTTGTTGCATGAAGCCCGAATTGGGCTCGACAAAAGGTCGAGCCCGCTTTATAATACCAAGGGCAAGGTGTGGTGCAAGACGGCGTGAGGCCATTAAGTAAGCCGCGAGTACTGTCGCTGACCGTGATCTACCCAATGCACTGTTGGACAACCGTGTCAACAAGACCCACAAATTACGCGGATGGGGAAACCAGGGGGGCCGAGAAGCAGCTAGAGTCAGCGTGAGGAATGCGTTACGGACCAGTGGATGAGGACAGCGCCCCCGCCCTTCAATGCATCGGAGATGAACCTGTTACTATCTGGGAACTGCTCCAGCAGGTTTTCGTCCTCGACATCGTCCACTTCGATGATCTTGTGCTGGTACTGAACGAATAATTCTCTGTCCAACGACAAGCGCAGAACAGAAACGACATGGGTAATCCCCGCTCTCTTGATAGCTTCACGCCCACGCAAGGCGTACATCCTGTAGGCCCAGAGGGGGGTGGAGTAAGTAAAGAGTTAATACATATGGTCACCACCGGCCTACACGCGGCATGGCAACCACCGCAAACAGTCAACCGCCATCACGGAGACCGGTAAAAATGTAGAAGACGGGGAAGGGGGGTGGTTAGCAGGGTACACACCCGCTAATATAGAGATTTTCGCCCCCCACTTTTTCCATATCCAGCGCCGTGTGCTTGTCCTGTGTCGAAGGCTATTTGTCTGGGAGCAGAAAAAAAGGGTCGGGGGAAACAAGCGAGGAAAGATGGTCAGGTGGGCTGAAAGGTGGGGCTGAAGATAGCGGGATGACGAGACACGGATGTCTCAAGGCAAGTAAGTTGGCAGACTCTTCCTACCGGTAGGTGAAAATTCTGGAACTGAGTATGAGAAGGGCTGACAAGGGGAATAAGTGAGCGAGCAGGTTCAATGGCCGTCTCGGGGAGGGGGGGCACCGCATGTGGATGAGCGAACCGTACAGTATGTACTGGTATACGAGGGGTGCGAGGACAGGCGTGAGAGAGTGTGTGCGAGAGTGTGCGTGCTCGACACGGGAAATGCGGGGCAGGTGAACCCGGTCAATACTGACTTGCCCTACCGTAGACTACAGTATCGTCGATTCCTCAGGGCTAGGGGTCGGGAACTTGCGTTACCGCACCGGTGGACTGGCCGTCCCCCATCCCACGAGTGACACCGTATTCTGCTTGTACAGGCATCATATAATACGATGGGGGTCCAAAAGCGGTGCCTTGGGTGCCCCCCATAGGGTGTTTCGGGCCCTCTTTTTCCTTCCCCGTAAACAAATGTGATACCGGTATCATAAGCTGGAGTCTTGGATGGGGCAACCGTCATCCTTGGCCCACCTCAATGCTCACGGTGAGTTTCCCGGCCCTCGACTACAGTGTCGACTACCCCCCACTACGGCTTACTACAACTTTCCCGGAACCGAACCAAAAGTGACGGTTGCCCCATCCAAGGCTCTGCCGCTTTTCCAGAGGCAGTACGATGGGTGCATGGCCATGTAATTGGCCTAAGAGTACTCGTAGAATGAATGTGAGACCGGACCGTGCCTGGCGGATGGTTGACACGCAGGGAAACCGTGCCATGGCCCGGCGAAAGGCATCCTATGGAAAGAGTGTGCGCGTGAGGTGGATCCGTTCTGATTGGCCCAAATAATACGCAAAATCCCACTCGGAGGGTCGGATATCCTGAAGCCATTGTTGCTGGGGTGGTGGAATGTTCTCCCAACGGTCGGTCACTTAGGCGAATTCCATATCCAAGAATTCAGGGCAGCCGTGTACTAGTATAGTACCGGTATGTGCTAACTTATGGTAGAAGCGTCGGTGGGGGGCCTCCCATATACTTGTAACTCTGGAATTCAATCATTTATACCATAGCTGTGATGAAGGCTCTGCCTGCAGGATATGGCCATAGGGATCCAAGGAGGATTTGGAATGCGTCTTATAATATCCCCGCCCGAAATCCACAAAATCACCCCCCCCCCCCCCACTTTCCCAAACCGGGCCCCCTCCCCTTCGGTCCGGGCTTGAAAGGCCCATGAATCTGGAGGCATGTACTAGCACTGTGCAAATAGCCAACAATCTCCAAGGCTATCACTCCCCCCTGGCAGGCATAAAAAAGCGTGAATCGTCTCCGACCCCATGTAAACTCCAAGTTAATTTACCCCCTCAATTGGGGATCTGAGCTTTGCTCTTTTTATATCACATCCAATCACTAGCATTATAGCTTACCGGTAGATATAATTGAGCCATCTGATAGACCCCGAATTTGAAACTTCAGGGCACGAGGAGTGCCATTGTATCGAAGCGGAATTCAGGGATTGGGCTCAAGTTGCCTTCAAGGGCCCGCTTTCCTACCTCGGTTTACCAGATACGGTATCATACTGTGCATGGCTTGGCACCGGTCCTACTTGCCCAGCCTGCCTCTTTCCCTTCGCCGAACCCGGCACCTCTCATGCCAATCGCCTCCTATCATACGGTAGCTCCCGACACTAATACTCGTACAGGTACAAGTACAACGCAGGCACCGCTCCTTTCCCTACTCTCCCTGTTATTGTCTGTGTCAGGGCTTGACCCAGATTGTGCCCCGGAATCAGTTTATCCAGGGTACTCGAGCATCATATCATACATTACCCAGCTGAACCTATCAAATCATCGTCACTAGCTCCGTAACGCTTCCTTCATCGCGTTCTACCCCCCTGTCGGGGATTTTTGCCCTACCATGCTACTACTATGAGTCGGGGCTACTTACGGTATCACAGTATGATATTGCAAAGCAAAGTTTGCCCGCTAACCAATACTTTACCGGATAGCTTTTCAAGTGAACGCCTATCACGGACAGTTTTGCCCATTGATATGTAGGACCGAGGACCTGGCCAGCGATCTCGATCCGCGCCAGCTAGATGCTCTAAGATTTCACAGTCACGCACAAGCAACACTATGATGTTCGCCGGTTAGACCTTGTGTCTTGTGGATTTAGGTGCGGTATCGCTGCGGTACAGATGTTCGCACCTTCCCCATCCTAGATGGTATTCCCACAATAGCACCCTCAGAATTCGAACAATCGGTCCATGCGGCGGACGCTAGAGCTACCTCTCCCGGAAATGTCTGCCACACTTCGCCCCTTTTCCAGTGGAGGAAATTCCGGAATACTAAACACACGGTCTGTTTATCGTTCGAACTCTTATGGTGCTGGCATCCCCATCTCACGCGAGGCGTCAGGCCGCCCCAACAGCCCCGCAATTCAATTCTTAGAGGCGAGGAATTCGTATGGCTATCACTAAGAGCCAAACGACTGACAGCCTTATCGAACATCTCACCGATATATGAAGCTACTTGAAAGAGCAATCAGGCGAGTACCCCAAAGCATGACCTACAAATATCCCCTGAGGTCAAAGGCACCAGGGGCGAAGACCTACAGCACATAGCAGTGGAGAGAACCTATACAGTACCGGCACGGGTACAAGTAGTCTATCCCTGAGACAGGTGAAACGATGAAACCCATATAGCCAGGAATTGCGCAATTCACGGTGCACGTAGCCACGGGCCAAGAAAGTGGCGAAGGAACTAATTGCACCGAATCCCGTGGCTTCACCTCTCTACCATGGGGATGGTCAGCGACGGGGTCGGCCTTAGAATTCCGGCTTGTAGGCTTCGCACTCATCCCCGGAACAAGCCCACAGATGGTGAGCAGGACCGCGTACCCCTAGCAAGCAGTAATAATGGACAAATTGTGCTTCAGAGTTAGCACGAGTTCAGGCGCGAGACCCTCTCCTCCCAACTGAGCACCTTGTTTCTACCCCTCGACCCAACTCCTTTCCTGGACAAGACCATTTTCCTGCATGCCCCTTTCAACTCCAAGGTGCTCTTAAGGATCGTCCGATTTCATTTTCCGATCCTCCTCGCCTTCAGCCCGCCCTGCAATGCTCTATGACTGTACCGCATCCGTTGTCCCAGGGCGGGCTCGCATATAGAACCACCCGGATCGCAAGGCTGGTAGATGCCGCCGTTTCGGAGGCCCCATACGCCCATCAAGAACAGTTGTACAGCTGGCAAAACTGCTTTTACAGATTTTTTTTGTTAGGGGATGCCTGTGTCTCGCCCATCGCACCTACTCATTGTCCCAAGGCAAAGGAGGATAATGCATAAGATGGACCCTCCCCGTTTGGTAGTAATAGGATTCCTAAGATTGGTCATAGTGCATTTCGCATCCGTTTCGAAGCATTCAACAAATACCGGAAGCGGTAATTACATACCGGAGGCTTGCGTGGTAAATGGTATTCATTGCTGATAGCCACAAAAATTGCAATGGGAAACATTGGAAAGGGGTTATGAGAGTCTGTCAAGAAGTGTACTCGAGTACCAGGTACAACATTGGGCACAGGGGGCCAATTGGGCATTAGATGGCCATACGATACGATATGATAGGACCAATGCAATCAGCCACATGTAGCTCTGACCCCTCCCTCCCTCCTTCCCTCCCCGCCAGTGGGGGAGGGGGTTACCGCACAAGATAGTCTACCGTAAGCCCTGAGGCATGAGAATTATGTAATTTCCGAGGGTTGCAAGCATCAGGAATGAAATTCGGAGGCGAAAAATCTCGGGCTTTTCCAGGTCCTGAGGATGGGTCCGTTATGTGGGTGAGATGATGACAAGGGTAATAATTATTATCATAAAGTAAATCACGATATTGCCGTTCCCTCATTAGTACCCCTAACTCTAGCTGTCGTTTTTTTATTTTTTTTATTTTAGCTTTCAGTTCCCTTCCGGAAAGAGAGTTTGGCTCCTGTTTTTCCCTTTTTACGTAAGCCCGAGTGCCATGCTAGGTATCATAAATTATGATAATTACCAGTAGTTCGAGGATTGAAGAGGTCACTATGAGTGTCGTATTATATTGTACTTTCCCATAGAGGAAGATTCCTGATTAATTTTTTTAATTTTTTTTTACCTCGGCACTTGATCCTAAGTTAGACCCAGGAGATTATGGCACGCTACTTTATTGTCAAGTTACTGTAAAAAATAAAAAAATAAAAAATAAGGAAGAGAATGCCGCCAGTCAAAAGAGAAATCCATAATCTCCATTTTTTCCCCTCCTTCTCCGATCGGTCGAATTGCGACAAAATGATACCGTACACTACTCTACCATAGAGAAAAACAGAAAAAACAATCCCAGTGCTAAATCAATTAGAGCCCACGGCGAGACATACTGTACTCGAGTACATCACGGTAAGGCAATAAACAGGAGAGTACGGTACTGTACGCCCGCCGATAAAAATAGGAATAACCCTCCCCGAACAAACTTTGGCGATATAATCCAACCGCCCCGAGACACATTGCTAATAACTACAGTAACACCCCCCCCCCTAAATACTCGTACTCGAGTATGATACAGTACCGTACATTGCTTCCAATCCATGCAAGCCCCCGGAAGAGCGCAGGAGTAATCAGAAAAGAAAGAAAAGAAAAGAAGAAAAGAAAAGAAAAGAAAGAAAAACCACAATGACAGCTCAGGTTTCCCAATTTCACTTTCACACCTTCCAAGTTATTATATACTGTACTTGTAGGTTGTGGTGGGCGGTGGGGGGAGGGGGAGGGGGAGGAGTGCGGACTTGGGTCTGCTGCATTAACTTAATTCCCCCAAGTAAAATGTAAAGTATCATAAGTTAGATCTTAGTTCCATCAGAGGCCACGCCTACCGGTACGCACCTTTAAGATGCCAATTTACAAGTACTGCGGCATGTGGATAAGAAACCTGTTGGAACTGGCAGGTCCTCTATTCACGTTCTCTTTTTTTTCTTCTTCTTTTTCTGTTCATGAAAGACTGTGTTCCCAAGTCTTCGTAGCCAGGGTTAAAATTCTGGTGGTCCTCTAACCTTGCCGTGATCAGCATATGTGCGTGCAGCCTCCCGCCGTTCTCGTCCCCCCTCCCAACTGATCACCTCGAATGGAGATGGATAATGGTGTATGGTACAGTACAGTACAGTGCAGCACATTTCTACAGACGAACCGGAATTAAACCCATTCACGGGGGGAGGGTACAGAACAGTTTCGGCTGATAGGGGGCTGTTGTTGTTTCTGCGGGCTGGGTTTCTTTCTTTCCCTCTTGTCCATTATATCGTGAATTGCCGGGATGAGGCCGCATTAGTGGCCTATCGGCTATCCGCAGGTAATGCGCTAGGTAATATACCCATCGCCCGTTGCCGACACTTCTACCGTTTTGGGGAACTTTACTGTAGTATCGCCCCCCGCTGATCTGTCGAGTGATTTGGTGTGAGAGTGGGTATCACTGTATCAGTGCAGTACGGTACCGTACCCGTGAGCGGATCGAGAGATACCTCCGAAAGCTCTAGCGGGAGTGGCATATTGATAGCTGCGACTGCGACAACAATCGTGCACGGAGAAGTGTTGTCAGTAAAGCCGAGCGCAAAGTAGCCCCCTCTGATGCCCTATCAGGAGCTGCGCAGGATAGGGTGTAAAACAGTGCTCGTCCGATAGAGGTCTGGAAAAGTGTTGCAGCCGTTGGCTCAGAATTGGATAGCAAGGTGGCACCTTTTTTTTTTACTTTTTTCTTTTGTTCACCCTTTCCTTTTTATATTGGGGGAAGTCGGTCCTGCAGATGGGATAAGCAGGATATCCGCACTTGCAAAGAAGAACCGGTCACATCGCCGACAGATTACCACGTACCAGAGTGCAAACTCGGGATGATAGACAGCGCTCCAGTAAAGTTCTGATTGCGAATTAATAAAAATGCGATGTTTTTCTTCGTTTTTTTCTTTTCTTTTTCTTTCCCTTCTCCCCTTTTTCTTTTTCTTTTTCCTTTCATTCCTTCTCTCCCCCTCCCACGCTCCTCTGCTCGTTATGGGACACATGTCCTGTTCCACCGGTAACGCACTCTCACTCGATTTTCCATGCAGCCACAGCATGCTCGAGTACTCGTACATGCTACTTGAGTACCGTACAGGGAAATGAAGGGAAAAGGAAGGAAAGAAAAAGAAAGGAGGAGAAAAAAAGAAAAAGATGGACATCCGGGACTGACCTGCCCTACAGCAAGGCTGCTTGCCACTTTCGCCTTCCCGCAGGCTTGGCGGCACGCGCTTGGGTTACCCCAGGTCACTCAGTCCTTTGACTTTTTCCCTGAAGCCTGTCAGGCGTGCGGTCCGGCACAACAACAGAAAAAACGAAGACTAAAAACTTTCCCCTAACGGTTTCACTTCAGCCCAGCTCCCCACCGCCCCCCCCCCCACAAAGGTGCGGGAGGTCGGATCCCGCCCTATCATTTCTCAGCCTTATAAGCCACTGACCGAAACACAAGACCTGCCTTACGGTGGACTGGCTATTCATAACTTCCTATTCCTAGCTAACCAAAGCAGGCATATCCGGGGGAATGAGAGAGAAAAACAAAAAAAATGCCGTAAGGGTGCAAAGATTTCGGACAAAAAGGATAAGAAATATTGCCGGAATATCATAAAACGGGAGAAGGAGGGGTGTGCGCCCTGAGCCGCTGACGAAATGGGTTCTCCAGAAAAACCCCAAGCTTTCTTCCTCCTCTCCTCTGTTCTACCATCATGCTTTTCTGTCATCTTACTTTCTTCCTTCTCCTCACCACTGCTTCTTGGAGGTGATGATGATGATGCCTGATATTCGAGGAGAACGGGAAACTTTTCACCGTGACAAGGAAGACTGTGGACCATTGCCTCTCGCCTTTGGCGCGTAAATGTGAGGCATTCGGGCCAGCACAATTCTGTTGACTGTGACTGGCCTGCTTTCACCTGCTCCGCTTACTCCTCATCCTCAGTGACACACTCTGTGTCGCCTCTTATCCCCTAGTTAGTATCCCTGTCATGTAAAATATCGGTTCGCATCATAGCCACGGCAAGTATCGCAAAGTATGGTGTTGTACTGGGGTGGTGGTGGAGGTGTTGAAAATGAGAAAAAAGAAAGCAAATCGGTCCGCACTCCCATACGATTCGACCGACTCGCCAAACAGAGACGTCTGGGAATAGTTGCAAGGAAATCAAGAGAGGGGTTGGTGGCCTACATATAGGTAAAACCGTGGACGCGCGCGTGATCGTTGTAACTATGAATGTTTATGTTCGAGCGACCGAATTGCGATGATGATAAGTATAGTCGAAATATCTCCCGGGGGGAGGGGGAGGGGGGGATGGCGGCCGCCCCCCCGAAAGCCAGACGTCCGTTCCGCGTAGGTACAGTAGGTAGATAGATAGGAAGGTACGGTATTAGTAGGTATTCCTGTATGCACGAGTACAAGTATTATACTGCACAGTCAGATTTGTTACTAAAGCGTGATCACGACTTTGTCACTCAAGGCGTTCGCTTGAACTGTCTCTCTCCCGGATCAGGTCGAATTGCTCACACTCGCATCCGTCGTTCGCTTCTGATCCACTTGTACCGTACAGTACGGTACTTCTCTCCCTCCCCCTTTCTTTCCCTCTTCATTCGTTCGTTTTTTCATTCATTTATTTCCATTTTCAATTTTCCATTTCCCCTTTCCCCACACCCCGGCCAATTTAGTCTCATAATATCTGGTAATTAAAATGATTCTTTCTGGCTCTGCGTGACAGCTGACTGTAATGGCGATATGAGCATCAATGTGGCATAGGCGCAGAATGCCAGGCAGAGGCAGGAGAGTCCATTTGCATGTAGACGCACCATGCATCAGGGTCGTGGCTCCAAGCCAGATTGAGAAGTCGAAGGCATGCCCTGTCAGACGGTGCAGCAATGAAATCAAGAGAGTGAAATACGGTATCCTCGAGAGTGATCTTTTCAAGGGGTGGCTTCCCTAGCGTTACAAATTTCTCGGGTGCATGAGAGGTGTTTCTTATTTGTTTTTAAAAGTGCATGACCGGCCTCCAGTGGTGATGGTGGTGGTGCAGTCGAACCCAAATTAACCGTTGGATCAAAGGCAGTTGGGATATGATAGCATGGGGTTTTGCTTTCCCTCCCTTTGCTTTTTTGCACGGGCAACCATCTCCCTCCCTGCCAGTGGGGAACATCACGGAGGGAGCGATCCGGGAAGTGTGGCTCGCCCAGACACAAACCTTCCTGTCCGCTGGACTGCGCTTGAAATCCAAGCCGGTGGCTCGGGGCCGGGTCATGGGAAACCAATCCCGGCCTGGATGGCTCTCACCTCACCGAATCTAGTGTTCTTTCTCGTCCCTTTTTCCCCCCTCAATCCCTCGTTCTCCCATGAATTTTGTGGTTTCTTTCCCTTCGTTTCCTTTTTATCCTTCCATCACACCGTGACCAGTGGTTACGGTGAAGGTTCCCTGTCAAATGACCTTGTTGTATCGTATCGGAGTCGAGGGGTTACAGTATGCGACGGCGCCAGCCCGGGTCTAATCGTGCAGCAGCGCCCTACTCGTCGCTACAATGGGTATGGGTACCGCACACACCGACACAGCGACCCACACTCTACTGCGAACCACCAAGCGTGTACCTAGCCCTACCAATCCGGTGATGGTATACGGTAGATTGCTGGCAGCGGGTGTCCATTTCGTTGTGCAGGTGGCGAGCAAGTTATCGCAGCGGTGCAATTAAGTTGAGATGATACGTGAAACGAGCCAGAGCTTCTCGGGAGTAAGGCAGTTTGAAGTCTTGTGTGCCTGTCAAGAACAGGCGCAGGAGTAGAGAGGGCGCATGTATCAACATCATGGGGTGGTGGAGGAGGGGGAGGAGGAGGAGGAGTGTAAACAGCCAAACGGCTTGCTCGATTACTGGCAAGGCTAAGGAGGTCCCAGAGGAGGGGACGGGCATTCGTATCGTTTCCTTGTGAGGCTGAACCTGCATCTGGATATTCTGCCTACCTGCTCGTAACTTTACGCTTCCTCTGTTTTGCTCCCGGGCCCTTCACTTTCAACCAACCCCCTCCCCCCCCTCTCCCTTCCCTCCGTTGTCTGCACCCCTCCCCTGCTCCCTACACACACGCGCACACGCACACACACACATCTATCATCATCATCATCAGCAGCAGCAGCAGCAGCAATATCATTATAATACCTGGTGGCCGCACGCGCTACGTATACTTCATACATAAGGTCGTTTTGTCCCACCCCTCCCTCCCCCACGTCTATGTCTGCTTGGCTCGTTCTTCTAGGCGGCTTCCATTTACCCTTCCAACTATCATCTCGCCGACCGTTGAGAGTGTTTCCTCTCTGTTCTTGGGGCGTGCTGCTTGGGGTTTGGTAGACTACAATTTAAGAGATTGAGGGAAAGAGGGAAAGAGGAAAAGGAGAAGAAGGATAGAAAGAAAAAAAAAATAATAATAAGAGGAAAGAAAGGAAGGGAGGAAGAGAGATAACCGGCAGCTTACCGTATTCCAGCCATCGACCCGCCTGCCCTACCTGCCTTACCTACCTTTCGAGTTAGTACCTACACCTATACACCTATACACCGCAGCTTACAGTACGCCTCCTTCCCTACACACTCCTAATAACAACGGTGTCCGCTCCTTTCGGTTGCCCTCTGCTGCCTCATTCTTTTCCTTCCCCTCAGACAAGGTGCTCGCTACCCCATCAATACTCGGTCGATAATTCCCTTGTGTCTTTATGTTGCGAGGCCCGGTTGGGAGTGAATTCGATTCAGCAGGAAGGATCCCCGAGATCCCTAGGTGGGCGATAGAGTTGAGGCTTGTGTGAAACCACCGAGAAACCAGACGAAACCAGTGCCTCCACCACCGCTCGTTGAGGGGAACAACACCACCAGAAAAAAAAAAGGAAAAAAGAAAAAAGTTGACCTGGCTGGTCTGTGCTTAGAGCATAGTCGCGACTGAAGGAGAGGGTAAATAGGGCTTGAAATGAAATAGCAAGTTTAGCACTTGCTCGGGTATTTGATTTCCTAGTTAGTCAACCCCGCCGCTTCTCGCTCGCTTTTCAGCTGAAGCTGCTGCGGATAGCTGATGGTGCGGAAATCGCCTTCAGACGAGCTCACGCCCACAGGTTCTCCAAGATTTAACGCTTTGCTTCTTAGACTCGCGAGGCCCCTCGAGAGATCATTGTTTCCCCGGTATATATTGCTGAGATAGCATATTCCTCCAGGTACTCAATTGGGCGGGTTCGTGTAGGCCCTGACCCTAGAGCTTTGGTCTAATGAATCTAATCATCAATAAGATATAGAACTAGTGCCCCGTCGCTCGGTCTCGGATCGAGTTTATCTTGCTCGCTAGTCGTCTTCCGTGATGACACTCCACCGAATAACAACAGCAGCAACTACAACAAACCTCCCTTCCATCGGAGTACATGATCACCACATCCACAACATGGACATGAGCAGTGAAAGCTATAGATCCAGGCCACTCGCCATACCTGCACCTAGAAATATTTCTCCCACGTCAAGTCGCGCCAGCTCCCTCCATGACCAGCCCCCTCCTCCGCCATTACTTTCTTTACTCCCGTCTGCGCCTTCGAACCGTTTCGAGGAACGGCAGGCGAGTTGGAAGGATAGTGACGATGGAGACGAAAGTATGCCGCGCCGCTGGTTTGGCGATGTAAGGGATCGGCAGCCCTCAAGTCACCCTATTTCGTCTCCGCGAGGCTGGGGAAGTTGTGAGAGAAAACCCCGGAGTCCACGGCATACTTCGCCTGGAAACTTTGGAGAGCTGGATATTAAGAGAGAGCCCAGCCAATCTTGGCCGGATGATTTCCGTGGGAGGCAGAAGCCTCCAAGTCAATTGAGCAAGGAGTTGAGTAGACCCGCATCACTGAAATCAATTTTGCTCGTGAAATCTTTGGCCCGTACCTCTGTCCCAAAAATTGACATACCATATCCCTTTCCACATAAACCCCGAAACTTTGCCATCAACTGGCCATTTATCATTTCCATTGCCCCGGCCTAGTTGGGACAGAATTGTTGACTTGTGCAATGACGCTCTCCGCGCATTAAATATAGCAGGCTTCAAGGTGAAGATTCTATGCGTGTCGCTATGCGGGCGTCCGTTCGGGCATTTGACAAGGGCCTCATTGGGAAACTTAACGATAGTGCGAGATCGGCTCCTTCGCCATTACCGAGGCAGCGGATTACCCCCCCCCGCGATTCTCGGCCAGTGACTCTTGGCTCCGTAAGTGACGATTTGCCGCTACCGCTGACAAAACGCTGGGATCATCTAAAGAGTCAACTACGGGGTGGCTCGACTTCGAACCCTATACCGATTCCGGGGCCTGGCTCGCTCAATACTCCATTCCAGCGGTGGCAGCATACTCCCTCGGTCGGCGACAATTCAGGGTTGGGAATGGCGCCGGAACAGCATCCTCCCGTGTTTCCATCATTTTCCGATATTCGCAACTCTGGCGACAATGCAAGTGTGTCGTCGTTTGTGACGGATAACGAGAGTTATTCAGGTGCGGATTCCCGGATGCGCCGATCTAGGAGTGCTTCTATACTTGCTCCTGGCATTGACGATGCTCAATCAGGCAGTTGCGATTTATATCAGGAAGACACTGATTCGCAAATGGACGATGCGCCTTCTCATGTCTCCCAAATGAAGCGACTCACACTTGGGGCAAGGACACCGCCGAAGTCAAATTCTTATCCTACTAACCATCGCCATCAAAGAGCTGGTTCGAAAAGGCGGGCTTCATCGCCCCCGAATGGGGATAGGCAAATAGGGAGCTCGGAGCCCACTAGAAAAGGCCTGCATTTGGAAGGTTATGGGAGCAGCGATATTTACGATCACACTCGGAGAACATCGCCAATACATCAGGGCTTAAGAAACTCGCCCAAGTATCAGCATTTTAACAATCCACCGATTCCCAGATCAGGATCAGGATCGTTTGCGTCTGCTTCTATATCATCTGTGGCAACATGGTCTACATCCCTTGGTCAATTTTCTGCTGCAAGTAGCTTTACTACGGCTGGAGGTGTCTCACCAGCCTCCTCGTTTTCCCCGCCGTTAGAGATGGAGATTGTTGGTGGTGACCAGCCGCCTCGGCAACCGCCGCCCTCAGCGAGTGCAAAAGGGCCTAGCACTAGCAGACACAGACAAATCCCGGAAGCATCTCCGGCACTTGACGGCAGAGAGAGAGAGGGTCTTGCTTCAAAGCACCACTCAGCTCCGAAAATGGGTGTGTTCATGTGTGAATGCTGTCCTAAAAAGCCGAAAAAATTTGACACCCAGACGGAGTTGCAGTGCGTCCTATTTCTGAACTTTTGATTTTGGTGTGTTCTGACAAATGTGTAGATTGCATGAAATGGAGAAGCAGTACGGCTGCCAGTATTGCAATAATCGGTTCAAGAATAAAAACGAGGCAGAGAGGCACCAGAATTCACTTCATCTGCGGAAACATTCGTGGTCGTGTGCAGTACTCTCGAGCGATTACTCGGCAGCGTTCCACGCTTCCCCTCAACACCCGTCTACTTGTGAAATATGCGGTTACTGTGGGAAAGAATTTCCAATGCCACCGCAGTGGGGTCAGCGAATTGACCACCTGACTGGGGAGCACAAGTTTGGAGAATGCAACCAATCCAAGAAGTTCTACAGGGCGGATCACTTTAGGCAGCATCTAAAACACAGTCACAGTGGGACTAGCGGGAAATGGACAAACGTCTTGGAGAACGCTTGTATGAAAGATGAGATGCCACCAACCGCTAGCAGTCACCATGCCAATATGGGGTCTGGCACTACGATGGCTATTTCAGAGGAGGGTTCAGAGTAAAAGAGATCATGGATAAAGCCTTTCTTTTGCCATTTTTTGTTTTCCTTAAGAATTTTTGCTTTTTCTTCCCTGTCCTGCCTCCTCGTTCTTCCCGGGTTTTCATGTCTATTTTTTTTTGATCCGTCATCCCATGGCCGCACATGCCAGAACGGGGAATAGGACCCGGAGAATGGTTGGTGTGTTGAAGGGTTTCCATAGAGAGTTCCGGCCATGCTGACTGCGTGCGAAACTGCACCTTGATGCACGCTGACATCATCAACACGACCGCTGCGGCTATGGCGGACATTGGGAGCAAGCGATAGACGCGGTTGAACCTGGTTGGGGACAGCCTATCTGTTTTGTTGATGTTCACAATTTTCGATTTCATTTCCTTGATCCCCTCATCGATTGGAATGTTTCCTCGGCTGGGTCAGTGGCGATGGCGATGGCGCTTGCTCTACTTTTCTTTGCTTTGCGGGTTTAGCAGCAAATTGGTCTCCCAGGATGGCATCGGGGCGAGGATGGAAACGGAAAGGAATAATGCAATTTTTAAACGACATATACGACACTTCTACGAATGAACAGCATCTCGATTATTATCGAGCGGGGGTTTATTTTTATTTTTTTACATATATATTATATATCTCTTTAGGCGTTTTATGTTTGTTTCATGCTATTTTTCTACCACTGTTTTTTTTTTTTTTTGGAAATCGTTGTTTCATTTCATGCTTTCAACTCTGGTATGATATCACGACACGCGATGGGGGTGTCCCTTTTTCCTATCTTGTTTTATGCCTGTCTCTTCTCTTATAAATTTTTTTCTTTGAGTTTTTCCTTTTCCCTTTACTTTAAGTTTTAATTTTCCGGAGTTAACGGTTTGGCGGAATGTTCTGTCCCGAAGCATTTACCGACATTATTTTTCTTCCCCATCTCCCCTTTTGCATGTATACTAAATCACAATGAGGCCGAATATCCATCCATCAACCTGTTTTCATTCCTCCCTTTCCTCCTACCTCGATGAATTTTAGTAGCCAACCCGTTGGAGATGGGGATCCCACTTCGCCCACCCACTCTGGCGGTGGAAAAAAAAGAGAGAGATAGCATGCTTCCTACCCAGTCATATCTTCCCACTCCCTCATATCGTCCATCCCATCGATTTTCCCTTTTCTTTTCTACTGATTCCTATTATCGTTTCCTAACTTCTTTACAGGCGTTCACGAAGGCAGAGTTTTTCATGGAGGAAGAGTCCGCGTTATCGTTTGGTCTGAGCCATTCGATTGGGCGTCGTGTGTGCGAAGGATTTGTGAGAGAAAAGATCGGGGAAGATGAAGAAGTGGTAATAGAAAAAAAGAAGAGAGGGAAGCGGAGGAAGTGAGGGGGGGGCATCCTCATTTGCACACTTTTTTCTTCTTTCTCCAATGCCATGGGGTTCTTGCTTCCTGTACATACATACTTTGGCCCGGGTTGCCGTCTCCACATCATATCCATCTTGTCATACTATGCCATCATCACATTTCGAGGAAACCGTAGGGAAGCAGGAGCGGAGATTTCGGTATGTGCTGTATATACCTTATCTCCCCTCTTTATGGATACCTGTTTACTCCCTTCAGTTTTCGTCTCCTGATTTCCGATTTTTCGGCCCTCGTTAGATTTGATAAGGCACGATACGACAAGATGGCATCCAAAGAATAAAGCCCGATCTACACTAAGACGAACGTGAAATAAATATATGAAGCATAAAAATGGGAGAAGGGGAAAAAAAAAGAGTAAGAAATCATTTCCCGAACGGGTTATTCAACGCACGGAGCAGCACTCGGTTGCGGACCTACCGGTGTCGTGGATTAATTGAACGGTGGGCTGATCACGATACGCCGATGACATGTGTATGTGCGTGTGGGGGGGTCCGTTAGCCGGGTAGGTATTTCGCGTGTATGCGTACGGTACTCGAGTAGGGCGGGGGCGGTGAATTGTTCGTTGCCGACTCCCGGCGATGGAGGGAAAAGAATTTAGCTGGAAGAGAAGAGGAAGAACCTCGTGAATGGCCTCGCTAGCTCAATCGGTAGAGCGTGAGACTCTTACTTGGAGGTTTATCTCAAGGTTGCGGGTTCGACCCCCGCGTGGGGCTTTTTTTCTTTGTTTCTCTCTAGGTTTCCTTTTCCTCTTTTTGGCGTGGGACACTATATAACATGTATCCCCGGGCGGCCACTGCATACTACTAACCTAGCCCCGTCCGCCCGCGGCTGCACTGATCAGATATCCATCGTGTGCGCTTCCGTTATGTCTTGCCATATTCCCCGAGATATACCTACTCCCACCCCCTACCAAAAACCACCCACAAGCACTCCACCATACATTGCAATCTGATGTAGGCAAGGGCAGATCGTGGATTCAAGGTACAGAGCAGGGGAAGTTATCCTTCGTTGTGAAGGTAAAACTTCATTCAATTAAAGTCCCGAAAAAGTAGTTGATTTCACCAGGACAAACTCGGAGAAGAACTCGCATACACTTAAGTAGAATCAAACTACTAGTTTCTCCCTGGACCGTTGAAGCTGTATCGAGATACAAATACCTGACAGAGAGATCGATGGAATAGCCAAAATAATATCCCACGTTACACTTTCTATAACCAAAGGCAAACTATCATATATATCAGATGTTGTTGGAATTCATCTTTGATCGTTAGACTTAGTCACGGACAGTTCCACATTCCAGTAACACAAGTCATATATATAGCTGGATGGCTTTAAGGTATTATCATACTGCTTCCAGAACATAGAAGAAATACATCTGTTAATATCATATCTGCTTAGGGGTTGCTACTATAAAATATATATCTCTACACTTTTTAATATACTATTGGTAATTAGATAGTTCAAGTACTATTAGGTATTACAGAACCAATACAATAATATTATAATGACTATCATACTTGATATCAAACCTGAACTATTGACTGGCTCGGGTGTCCGAGTGCAGTAAGGGTGTTGATTCGCACTTCGACCGTGGGGGTATGTATCTTAGGATAGCGGTATCATAGCCGTGATAGACATCTTCAGCCCCCCTTGAGATCTCGTGCGCACCGGGGCCCGGTAAAGAGTATCCGGTTTTCCAAAGATATAATATAACGGACCACAGCGGGCCGACTCCCACCTCGTATACATTCAGACCCTCCCTCCCTCCCTCGAGGTCTCGATCTGGTCATAGCTAGTATTTCCGTATATACCGAATTGTATCATATGACACCACTACGGCCAAGAAACCCCCAAAACCCGAACCCAAAATTCTCAGAAATCTGCGGCAAGCGCTGTATGTACATATTTACAACCCTTCAAAGAAAGAAAGAAAGAAAGAAACAAGCCCTTGAGAAACCTTTCTTTACACAGGGCCAAACCAAAGGTTACGGCTGATGGTCTTACGTTACTTTACTACGCCCTTCATCGCTGGGCGGGGAGAGTATCGCTACGGTGAGATCCGGGTGGCTTGCTTGCTTGGCGCGGTACCGCCAGTCTGACGGATTCCATGGAACGTCGGCAGGGGTATGGTGTGGGGATTTGTAAAGGGAGGGAGGGAGGGAGGGAGATAAAGGTGAGGTGGGTGCGATAAGGCTCTGGCTTGATGTTTCTTTGGGAGGATCTCGAGGGGAAATTGTTGTCGTTATCCCTTGTGTGGGGGTAGATTTTGGATCCGGCGGGGTGATAGGTTGGTGAAGGGATTTGGGCTGATTTCTGGGGGCTGTGCTAAACCCAGGCACAAGAACTCTAAATTGTATCATAATACCTTCATGGGAGTTTATTCAAGTGTTGCTCCCATCGCCTCGCTAGCTCAATCGGTAGAGCGTGAGACTCTTAATCTCAAGGTTGCGGGTTCGACCCCCGCGTGGGGCTCCATGAGAAATGCTTTTTTTTTTAGTCCGAATCGGTGTCTACCTTTTTCTCAGGCACAAAGATAATGATAACGATAACGATAACGACAACGACGACAGGGTTGCTTATTTCTCGTCCGTCATCCTATGATGGTACGGTAGTTTTCTTCTTAGGAAGGGAGGGGTTGGCAGGCACAGTTCTCGGAGTTTGGCGGGAATAACTTGGTGGAACTTACAGTACGGCGACACACGGCACTGCCGGTACATGACACTGCAGGCCTGCTGACAGATGTTGTCAGAAGTCTGTTTAAATAGCCCATGTGCGCTTTCACACCTAAAAAACCAGGAAGGTTTTTGGTTCCGGTCACTCTGTGCTAAAGGTTCGGAAGCAAGCAATTACCGTGCGTATTCACGGGCAGGACAGGAATCAGGGATTTGGGCTGGTAGAATACTTACGGAAACGCAAGTCCCGCAGTTGAGAAGGATATGGGGAGTCGGTACCGCTTTCCAATTCAGTGCTGAGATTCTTTTTTCCATACGCCCATCCACAAGTGCTGTTGCTTCACTTATCGCGAAAGCCTATAGCTCCAGGATTCAGGACAGAGTTCAGACCAAGTCACGGTGACATTCGGGCGCATGAAATTAAGCGTTCGAGAGAATACAAGTTCAGCGAGAGATTCTTGAGAGTTCCTTCAGGGTCAATCTCGAGGTTACGAGTTCTGCCCCGACGTGGGAATGCTCACAGTCCCTCTCATACGGCGTGGTTTCCTTTTTCCCTCTCCTTTCCCACTCCATTCTTCCATCTCCGTTTTTTTCTCTTCTCCTCTCTTGTTCTAAAGAACTAGCGTGCGTTCCCTCACCCCGCAGGACTAGCTAGTTTTTTTACACTGAACCAAGGAACGAGAGCCTAAAGTCCGAGTAAAACTACTAATCACGCCCTAGAGGAAAAAAAGGTCAAGGTATCATAACGACATAGTAAGGCATGCAGGAAACATGCAGCGTTGATGTTGTTTCTCATGTGGTTTTAACCCTCTGAAACCCCCATGGGATTGCCTTGCTCTAGTGTAAGTCATGCTGGGAGGACGGGGAGGAATGAAAGAAAGATAGAGGAGAGAGTAATAGTGATTTTGAAGAGAGTACCAGATAAACCAGCAGCACCCGGTTCCGCCTCTTACCAGTTCCTCCACCGCTAGATCTAGGGCTGCTGGGCTGTGGTATCATACGATACTCGAGCCACGGGTCCAGGTCTGGGGACGCTTCCGGGGTTTCCGAAAGGTGCGAAGCGATGCCCACCATCCCAGGGAGAGCTATCAAAGCCCTACCAATCACAATAGATCACTCGAGTATCATTGCAAATCATAGCCTTTCCCAGCTAATCTTCTTCCGAGATGACTAATTCAGATGCCACGCCTGTCTGCACCTGCATATGAGAGCCAGTTATTTGAGTTGGTGTGCCTGAAATTCCAAGTTTCGGTGGGTGGATGTGCACTACCGGCATCAACCAGACCTCAATAAATATAGCCAGAACGACCCGATGGTGTGCGGTAGTTACCTATCGCGGCATTTTCCGGTCGGTTGCTGTAGGGCTGGGTAAGGTTGAAAGGAAAATAAAAGAAATCTTCAAGCTTCTCCACCTGTGGGATGCGGAATGGCGTATGTAGGTGATGCGGGGCTTCCCTCTGGCCGGAGGAAGGATGGGAGGATGGTCGAATGCAGGTGAGAGAAAGCAGTTGCGTGCGTGTGTGTTGTGTGCTTCTGCGGTATCGGTATCGGCATCGGTATGGATTCACAGGTGTGGTGGTGGGTGGCGTCGATAACATTGAGATTTGCACTTTGGGTGAGGTGGTGGTTCCGACGGCTCCGAGTGATCTGCGTTCTGCAAGCCCATGCGGTCGGCTGTGGCCCGAGATGTCCCCTTTCTGCAGTGGCTATCAGGTGAGGTGGGGGGGGGGGGGGGGGCTAAGTCTCGTTAAAGCCCATGCTAGCGCTTCCCTAAATACAAAATACTGTGCAAATGTGCTAACCTGGCGAGCGGTGTGGTAATGAAAATAGGTTCTCGTAACAAGCACCCGGGGAATTGTGCTCTCACGGTATCGTTCCCGGGATTGGGTTCGCCAAACCATGTGTGAGCATTTGTCCCGCGATCTCTATGGAGCCATGGAAAGACTTGGCCCATCATCTCTCTTTCCGTGAGATTGATAAATGGCACCGGGGTTCTCGGTAGCTGGTTCTCCCCCCGGAAACAGTGCGATCAAGGTGCAATAAGCAGACCCAATACCACAAACTGGCTCTGTGACCGTATCCGTGCGAAGATGACCCCGAATACAGTGTCCGGGCCGGAACCCAACGGAAATATCCTAATGATTGGACCTCACTGTACGAGTACGATGCCAGTAGCCCACCAAGCACATTCCTACCTAGCTGGCCAGCAGAGCGGGGTAGGGTAGTAGTCACTCTTCCGGAGATTCCTGCACTAACGGCAATCTCCGTTGACGTACCATATCGGGCCGTAGTGAGCTCTTAGGCTTGTGCAGCCCAACGAGGTGTCAGACTGGAGACATGGGTGCCTCCTCAAGTGCTGTCAGTAGGGGTCCCTACAGCACTGGCACCCCAAATGGCTGTTAGCCAAATCAGAGCAAACTAAGTTAAAGTTACCCTCTAGGATGGAACTTACATGGCAGGTGCACTATCCCGGGGCTTCCGGGGCAGGCAAGCACGTTATCCCTAGAATTGAGGAAGGGGCAATTGGAGCGATGGAGGTGCAATCACGGGGCGTTGAGAAGGCGTGCACTGGGAAAAACCTGGGTTCTACTCCCGGCAGATCCCAGACAAACCGCCGCCAACGGTATGAAATTATCCGCGGACCAAAGTATCCCACAGCATAGAGAGTGCCATATGCAGGCGCGAGCAACACCCGCTCAACAAGTTGAACTTTGGTCGTGATTGCAATGTTTGCCATTATGCCGGCACTGTTCGGGTGTCCCTCTCGCTATGCTACATAATACGCTAATACCCCTCCAAAAGCAGTGCTCGAGCAGCTTCACTCCATTTCAGAAGCAAAACCAGTCATCCATGATACGATACAACACTACCGATGACACCCTTATGACAATCCAAGAGGGGGAGGAATAGCCGGTTTAGCCAGGCAAGGAGCTTTATGTTTGTCAACGGCAATGGTAGCAGCGAGCACTACCTCGTGAAATCGCTCTCTAATCGACTCAACCTCCCATCAACACCACATCAACTCGATCTCAAGACTTCACACCATACCCGTGACACAATGTAACCACTACCCCAAATCACTCCAAGCACACAGGTTACACGGAAACGCCCAGACCGAGAAGAAACATTCAAAGCGGAGCCGCTTGCACCGAAGCTTGATCACAAGATATCACCGGGCTCCTTCCGCTGCGCTTGAGGGGGGAATTCAGAAACACATCATCAGGGACGAAACCTCACGGTAGCACACAGCCCCAGGAGGGATCACCTCACGCTCGACCACTAGCACGCCGCGATCGCGGAAAAAACCGGCTTCACGTTCCCCCTTTTGGACACCGGAAACACCGGAAAGCGTTACTTTCTTTCCGGCACATCCCATTCGTCCGTATATATCAACAGCACCCGAACATCAGGGTTTGCATGAACGGTCGTTGCAGGCGCGCAGCTAACTCGAGCCTATCGATTACGAGGGATAAGGCATTCCCGTGAAAATTCTGTAACCCCTTCTCATTTACCGGAAGGGATATCTGATATCTGTGGTGATTCGGCCAACCAATGCGGCGGGGTTCACGGGCTAATCCTAACATTCTTCCCCCCCCACCTCCCGATCTCTGGACCAATGCTGTGATCTGATATGATGGATGGATATAGGCTACCGCTAGTTCACAATTTCGAGACCCAACGCCCGTGCTGCGGATGCCAACCGGTAGATAGGAGCAATCCGAATGAGCCTCGAGTGATACTTTATGAACACTTTCCGACCAACCCTTCACAAGAATTCACAATGAAGCCTCATCAGATAAGATAGGTTATCCCCAGACACACCTGCAGCACTCCGGATAAACTGCCCGATGATGAAACACTCCAAATAGTCGTTCAAATAGAGGCGTGAGCAGCAAGATCTTATCTGCCAACTTAGCCCCATCGTATTAGCCCCAACCCTCAGAGGCATTCCCTCCCGGATATCAGATTAACAATAAACACGATCTTGATAAAAATAAAAATAAAAATTTACCCCTAGCAAACATCCCAAAAAAACCGCGACCTCCCCAGTTCCCCGGATACCAATGATAATACCGATAATAATAATAATAACAACAATAATAATAGCGAGCCAGATCGGACCCAATCCCGATCTACCCCAGCACTTCCCACATCCTCCCCGACAGAGCCCATCAATAACGTAGGATACTATGATAGCACAGTAAGCACCCCCCCCCCACCACACACATCCCCACAATTCCAACCAGCCCGCCCGCCCCCGTTCTCAAACCAGTGGACACAACCCCGACCCCATGACCAGGCAAGCATACACCAACCACCCCGCCCTCCGAGCCACCTCTCCAGCCGACAAACCCAGTCAGCGAACAACTACGCTACGATACTATGCCATCCCGCCCCCAGCCAAACCAACGACCAACGACCAGCGAGCGGTCAGAGAAGGCAAGAGGAGCAATCGAGTGAGGCGCCATGACGACCAACCAATCCGCTCCGCAAGGTAATCCGAGAAAAGGGCAATATATCATATCATACGTCCGCACCCCCGGAACCGAGACGGCAAGTTTTTTTTTTTTTCTTATACCAGGAGTGGACTCGCCTCTTCCTCCTCCTCCTCCTCCTCCCATGGGATTATCATCGAGAAATAATAATACGGATATCATGTGGACCCAGTAGTCGAGATCCGCATGTCCATATGATACTCGGGGAAAAAAAGGAAAAGGAAAAGGAAAAAAGAAAAAAAAAGTTGGGACGGAGGAAGAAGATAACGGGGGGCGAGCGAAGGAAGCGAGTGAGGGTGCCCGGCACTGGCCGTGCGCGGGAGGGAGGGAGGGAGAAATCAGACCACTGCTCATACAAGACGGGTACCGTAATCCTTCCTTCCTTCCTTCCTCCAATTACCCCCGCATCAAACTCCAACACAAACGGTACTAGCCACTGCCCATGATACTCATGATACTTCCATCCACAGCAACATGCTGGGGACCACGCCTAGGTAGGTAGGTAGGTAGGTAGGGGTAGAGGGGAGTGAGGGAGTGAGGGACGTAGGTGATGACACCACGATCACAGACATCCAACGCTTCCAATAATAACGGACCCTCCGCGCATTTCCACCCCCTAGCCGTTTGTACGGAGTGCCATGGGACAGGACAATCACGCGCTGTCACTCGTCGACGCAACGTCTCGATGTGACATTGCGCGTGGAGTGCGGGGTTCCAGATACTCCTGCTCCCACTACTGCCGCGCTCCCCTTCACTTGATGTCCGTTGCCCAGCATGAGAGCACGAGTAATACACCGACAAGTACGCAGACAGGACCGGGCAGGGCAGAGCGGAGCGGACCACGTCACGGCAGCACAAGGCAAAGTGCGGTAGGAAGGAGTACACTCCTGTGCGCGCAGGAGTGCAAAACACGCTCCAAACGGATACAATTCTATTCAAACAGGCACTTTTTTTACTCCTCCCTCCTTTTGTTTCTATCCCTTTGGGTACGGATTTGGGTATTTATTTTATGATTGGATTTGACCAGCCCGAGCCTGTGGGGCCGACATAAACTGTACATTTTCGGGTGTCTTTTTGCCCCTCTTGGTTTCCTTCCATCCCTCTTTTGCTTGTTTTTCTTCCACCCAATCGCCCTTTTTTCCTTTTTCCAGATGGATTCCCACCACCCAAATATGGTGGATGGGAATTTGTACAGCGCCCCTGAAAAAGAATGAAATGAAGGAAATATCTCCCAATCTCATGTACTGCGCCATCGTAGACGAGATAGAGGAGATGCCGAAAACACTACCGTATCCGATCATTCCATCGGGAAGCAAGGGAAACAATGAAACACAGTGTGGAAAAGAAGCAAGAAAAGCGAAAAAAAAACTAAACTAAACTAGAGCTAGACAGCTAAACAGCCCTCACACAACCACCTGGCCCTGCTATGATAATATGATGTGAATTAAACATGACACCCCATTTTGAAGAAAAGAAAAGAAAAAAAGAAAATCCATCTAAAAATCAAAAGGAAATGACCCTATTCGACATCACCAGCCGCCCTTTTAAAGTGTAAAAAATGTAACAAGTAAGAATGATAAAAGTTTATACAATGCAGGGGTAAAAAATAAAATAGAGAGAAGCAAAAAAATCTTTCATTTACGCGTGCGCCCGAAAAACCCCGTGGAAGAAAACGAGATGAAGAAATTGTTCGTCGTTAGATAGAAGGGGCGTAATTCATCATCGTCACCATCGTCATGCACCGTTAAAAACAAGATAAAAATAGAACAAAACGTAACTTATAAAACAATAGTGAAATCACTAGTCCACCGGTCATTTGGATAGGGTGCGCTCCGAACCCTTCATGCTATGGCCGTCACCACCGGGAAGAATGGTAACTGGTATGATCGGTGATATCGGGTTGCTGGTTGGAGGTGGGTAGCTACCACCCAGACTGTCGATGCTGGATACACTCGACATCGCCGAATGCTTGACCTCAGATCTCCTCACAGCCTCGAGGATTTTCTTGGACTCCGCAATGCGGTGCTTCCAGTTCCTTTCTTTGTCCTCTCGCTGAAGCTCGACGTTTCGGATCTCCTGCGCGCTCGACCATCCACTCTCAATCATGCGAGCTCGCGTAGCGTCGTAGGCTGCCAGGTCCCTACTCATTTCCTCAATCATATCTGCGAGGGAATTCGCGGTGACAAAGGTGACCGGAGATGCCAGTTTCTTCGGTGCAAGTGGTGTGGCCGGGTCAATGCTAGGAACCTTCTTATGCGTCATTGATGGGGCCGGCATACTGAGTGAGGTTTGCGACGTTGAGGCTAGGGAAGGGGACATCAAAGGAGAGATGGTCGGAGGGTGCAAGGGAGAGCAAACTAGTTCGGGTGGGATTGGCGAGTTGCACATTTCCGGAAAGACATCCGCCCCGGAAAAGTTAGGGGTGTTTAGAAACCTCGGCGACTGAAGTGGGGACACGATATCGGTTTCTCCTACAAATGTTGTTGTTGGGTGCAGCAGAGGCGGCAGTGGCGCTTCCGCTTCTGCAGCAGAGTGAATGCTCATACCATCATCTCCGGCCAGCGGCTTCTCAATAGGGCCCCTCAGCTCCCGGAAAAAGTGCTCCAAATGATCCTCCGGAGGTGTTCCCGGAGAACAGCAAGATGGGGAGGTAGGCATGGTGGAAGCCGAGGGGATTGATGGAACTTGGGGTGTATTGTTTGGGCTCGACATCCTGCGCTTCAAACTCGTCCGTATTTTAGGAACAATCTTATTGAGAATTGTCGCTGCACGACTCCGACCCGAACCACCTTCGCTGGAGGGCGATTGAGGCAGGGAAGGAGGACCTGAAGAAAAGCATTCCGGATCGATAACCAATTCACCAGATCGGTGAGGCCGCAGGATGGGAGAGTCGGCAATTGAGAAATCAAATTCCTGCTCTCCGGCTGCGATGTCCATTAGCCCCGTAAAACGCATACAAATCCACAAGGGCAAAATCTTACAATGAGAAGGAGGAGTCGGGGGCATTGAGTACTGCTCTCCGTTGATGTGACTCTTCTGGAACTGATGAATAAGGTAATCGTGGTCAAAAGATGGATTGCCTCCTGTCGTAAGGTGCAGTCTCTCTGACAAGCTCCTTGCCGTTGTCCATCCACTAGCTCCATCCACCAGTGTCTCAAGCCCCAGCCCACCCAAGCCATTTACAGTGCTACCGCAACTGCAATCGCACAATTCGTCATCCTCCTCATCCTCCTCTCGAATTGACGGCGGGGCGGTTATCGGAGACATGATATCCGGTGCATGAGGCTTGAAAGGTGAAATGTCAGTGGGTGTGATTGGGGTTGTCATTGCTGTGTTGCTGCCGGTTTCATAGGAGGAGTAGGGTGTACTGATGACAGAAGAGCCCTGGGAAATGGGTCTGCACAATTCGCTGTCTAAACTAACCCTAGAAGAGATCAAAGCTTTAGGTGACGCGGCAGGCTCCAGAGGCTGAAGTTCGGGTATCCCGCGCCTCTCAGACAGCCTTCGAGGGCTATGGGTTGTAGAGTAGTATAAAGCCATGACGGTGTTTGCGGAGAAGCGGACCGCAATGGCAGCTCGCTTCCTTCGGATGGGGAATATTGAAACGATTCAGGACGATGGATGTTGCGAGAGCAGCCCCAAAAGACGGGTGGATGTGAACTTGATAAACAAGGGAGGAGGGTGGGAAGGGGAAGGGGGTGTGTGGGAGGTTGAGTGGGGGGGGGGGGGGGGGGACAGCGAAGAGGCACCAATTGATTTGATTGTCCTGACAAGTTTGTCCGTTGGATTGCTCTCCCTTCTCTTCCTGCAGGACTTGCGTGGCACGATTCGAGTAGAACAAGGTTACCTTTTTCGGTCGCGTGGCAGTAAAGCCAAACAAAGAGTTCACGGCGGATTGGAGGAATGGGGAAACGATGGATTGAACAAAGGTCCGTGTTTAAGATAGACGAAATCTGGGGGGAATGGCAGGAGGCTGTTCGCTAGATATAATGATCTGATGAGTTGTTGGTTAAAGGGCGGATGATGACTGTTTGTTTACAGGGTGATCGAAGCAGCCTCGAGAAGAGTGTATATATACTTTTTTTTTTTCCCCCCAACCAACAACAGTGCTTTGGAAAGATGATTCACGATTGATGTTGAGGGGGAGAGATGGAGAGCCCGAGGTTGCGTGAAGCGGGGTTTGTAAAGGCGCGAAGATGACTGGAATTGTTGAGGGACAAAATGTACGTATACCGAAGGCAGGAAAAGAAGAAAAAAAGTAAAGAGGGTAAAGAGGGTATGATATGATAATATGAGGATTAGTGTATGCAATAGCAAGGTGGTGATGATGGTGGTGACGGGGCGACGGTGGGCACCTGTGGCCGTGATTATGGTTTGCGGTTGTAGAGGCACGAGGAGGCAGTCCGTCTTGTTGAGAGTTTGACGGACGGCAGAGGATGAAATAATTGGCCAGGCTGGACCGAAGCACTTATTGGTCCGGAGCGGTGGTGTAGTTAAAGAGAGTACGATAGCGCACCCTAGGCCCACAAAATATTGTCAAGGATAAGGTAAGGTGTGTAAGGAAGACGCTGACACAGCAGAGGGGGCAGCAAGCAGGCTGGATCCAGCGGGCAGTTCCAGGTCAAGGTGACCGTGAACAGAACAGAGGCAGAGAGGCAGGAGCAGTGAACAGAGACGATGGGATGTGTCAGGATACATGGGTTCGTGGGAGAAGACGGTGGGTGGGGGAGGGGGGGAGTCAACGATGATACTCTACTCGTACATACAGATGTGCCCGCTGTGATGGTGATGGTGATGCCGGTGGTGGAATAAGTTGAAGCACATACAAAAAAGAGGTGTATGGATGGATGGAGGAGATTTATGCGATTAGGTGTGCGCGAGAATGTTCGGTTTGGTGAGGAGTGCCAGTACAGTACAGTACTGTACAGTACGGTACGAGTATAAAGTCACTATAAGTGTATGTATGAGCACAGCACTGTACGAGTGCCGGTACACAGGGTACTCTCACGGTGCCGGTAGCTGGCTGAATCGTAGCGTGCGGTAATCTATCATACTGTGGGCAATGAGGCTGCACATTTTTCTCTTCTCTTTTTTTCCTTTTTTTCGGTTCTTTCCTTTTTCTCCCTCTCCTGGGCTGGTGTGTATCGGATGGTCGAAGACAAAACGGTCGAGGGAGGCAAGGAAGAGCGGATGAGGCACTTGACACAAGCGGAGGGAAGACACGCCAAAAAAGGGACGCGGAGCCAGTCGCCTGTTGGGAGAGAAGGCAGCAGCAGTACTCGTACTCGAGTACAGACTGCGTTTGGCCTTTGAAGCTTCTTTCCCGAGGGAAGAGAGTGGTTGGGGGGGAGGGGAGGGGGGTTGATTCGGGGGGCGCGGCGTTGGAACATGGGACTTAAATTTATCCACCACAAAAAACTCAATTGGACTTTTTCTATTTATCCCACCATACTGTCACTGGCCTATTCAGTACTGGGCCCAATGGCCACCCCCGCTCACATCGCTGCCATACAGTGCACTTTCTTTCCTGGTGGACACAGCTGTGGTCCTGCTGCTTTTGCCGCACGGCACTTGATTCCAACCCTTTTTTTTCTAATTTTTTCCCACACGATTCCCTTGCCCGTCCCTCCCTCTCTCGCTCACTCGCCCAATCCCCCCCACTCTTTCCTCCTACTAACTTTTACTCCCCCCCACACAAAAGAAATGGAGGGGGGGAAACGTTGTGCCCGCCGAATCAAGTCCCTAACAGCCCCCAGAACGGAATTTAAATGGGCACAAAGAGCGGGATGGGTAAACGTGCGGCGACGCACGTAAAAGAATGCCCCTTGCCGTCAACTTTGTAAGCCAAACGAAATGCATCCCCGCCAGTTGAAACAGCTCATACGGTGCCGGCCAAGAGGAAGAGTTTTGAGGGAAGGGAAATGTAACGAAGTCTAATGACCGTAACCACTCACCGAGAGGGGAAACTCACATCTCGCATACCCCCAGGTGACCGAGAATGTGGCACGCATTGGCTACTACGATACCGCAACACTCATCTATACGACACTCACAAGTGAGAACCAGTGAACAGGCTTTCCCAAATGTGGCAGAAAACCCCAAAGCGGTTCTCAAGCCTAAGGCTCCTCCAACCTCATATCAGCAACTACGATAGCCAACATCAAAGCTCCACCACACCGCACCGCAAACACTCGGGCATGAGCTACCAAACACCTCCACCACCACCACCAAGACCCCGACCTCCGAGCACCCGAGAAACAAGTAGATATCGTAACGGACTCAAACAGTAGTAACAGGAAAGAAAGGAGAAAAAACCCCGCATGGCGCCATCTCTCTCACCCGATGGCTAGTCTCGAAGCCCAAGCTAAGTCAAGCCAAGTCAAGTCAATCCCAAGTTGGGCAGGAAGAGTAAGCCGTTCTCGCGGATCAACATCCGCGTTCCCAGTCCTCGGGTGAGTCCAACCTGTGAAAGTGGAAGGAGGAGACTAGGGCCAGAACCAAACCGGTGCTCCGCGACGAAAGGAGGGAAGGAGAAAAAAAAGAGACGGTTCCCCGCCGCCCGTCCGCGCCGTAAGGAGAAGAGAAGAAGGGGAATGGTAAGGATCAGTAGTAGGAGGGAAGGTGGGAAAAGACGAGAGAGAGCGCTCTTTCCACATACGGCACAGGTTCCATACCGGTAGTCCAGTTCACGTACTCGAGTACAGCGGGTTAGGGACGAGACCGTGGTCGGCGAGTACAGTACAGTAATCAATTGACACTTGCCGGGCCCGTTCCCACTCTTGAAAGCGAGACAGCGATGATCCCTACAGTACTGTGCTTCCCTACAAGCGAAGGTATAGGCTGGTTAGCGAGTGAAGGAGGGGGGGGGGATACAATACGCAGTGCCGGTAAACGGAGAGTGGAAACAGAGTACCGTAGAGTCTCCAGGAGTAGGGTCCCCAAGAGCGGAGTACTGTACTCGTACGCACTCGTACTAGTACAGTACGGTGCCGTGGGATCCACAGAGAGACGGGAAAGGCACGAACGAAATCATTGTGAGACATAATATCACCCCGTTACCCGTTCATTGTTACAGTTGGAGCCATTTTCACGCCTTCTCTCCGGAGGGAAAAAAAAAAACCTCAATCCGAGTGACAATCTATACACGACCATCATCACACACCATACCACTAGAGGGAAGATTGAAAAGAAAAAAAAAAAGCCACAGCCAGAGGGGGGGAAAAAATTCCCCGGGCGGGATAACGTACTCGTACACTACGCCACTTCGGGACCGCAACGGCTCCAACGTTGCCAGACAGCCAGCCAGGCGGATATGTACTGTAAGACGAGACATGTCTCGGACGGTTCATACCCTTTCACCTCCTTCCATGAAATGCGCGAACAATCTGCCAAGCAATTACGTCGATAAATCTACAGCACAATATCTTGAAGTGCCGTACATACAGTAAACCGAAGCACTGGTGTAGGACAATTCGCACGTATCAATAGGAAAGAAAAAAGGTGGTAAGAGAAGAGCATACGCAGCACAGCACAGCACAGCACAGCACCATAAACCCATCAACCATGGTCCGCCAGACTAAACCAGACAAGAACTGGACAAAAAACCAAACCAAACCGTCCGCCTACTCCTCACTCACTCACTCACTCACTCGCCCGCCCCCCTCCCTCCCTTCCTGCCCTACCCGCCTTCCTGCCTGTTTGCCTGCTCATGCCATGCCATGCCATGCCATGCACTGCACTGCACTGCATCCACTGCACCCACTACACACACCACCGGTCCAAAGTCCTTGGAAATCCTACTCGAATAGGTAGCAACGAATAACACACCGGAACGATCATCATAGATTAGGAAGGGAAAGGAAAAGGGAAAGGGGAAGGAGAAAAGAAAAAAAAACAGAGGCCTACCACACTCCAAATTGGTTACCTTCCACTTGGTAAAAAAAAAAAATGAGGAATGCAAAAGGGATAAATAAACAACGTTTGAACCGGGTAAGAGGGTTCCCGAAAGACCGGGGTGGTTCATTTAAGTTAGGTTAGGCATTTACCGTACAGTGCCGTGCAATATATATATATAAGTAGGCCGGGGTGGGGAAGGGGGGGGGCTATTACTGTACTCGTGCTGTAAGAGCTGCACTGCGCTCTACTTGTACTCGTACTGATTCCCTACAGTACGAGGTTTTATTTTGGTTTTTTTGGTTCTTTCCCCCCTTCTCCTTTTTTAAATTGATCTGAACCCTGATACAGGCACCGTACTCGCATAATATCATACTTAACCGATACGGGTATCCTTACTTGTACGAGTACTTGTACTGTGCTTGGGGTAGGGGTTGTGTTTGTCGTGGTTTGGCTTGGTTTGGCTTGGTTTGGTTTAGTTCCGGGTGATGTTTGATGGAGGCTGTGTAACCGGGGACGATTCGGGGTCAAAAAAAAAAAGGTATGATACAACACAGTATGATACGGTATATGCTGTATCATACGGAATAGGATTGTTTCGTTTGGAGTGGTGGGGGGGGGGGGGGGGGACGGATTTCATCCTGCGGGCGAAACCGTAAGGCCGTCTTTCTCCCTTTCTCTCTCGGCCAGGGTTGGGTATGAATGATAGGAATGTTTGATTCGGGAGTGCGAGTATCATACTGTACGGTATGTGCCGTTCGATAAAATGGATTCTAACGAAGAGAGTCGATATACAGTACTAGAACAGTGCCGGCAGCTTTCGAGACTTGCTATCATACTGCACTTACTTATCTACCCGTATACACGAGATCCGCAACTGCGCGTCGATAGGAGAGCCCGTTGGTTTAAAGGGGAGAGGAATAGAAGCACTCTGCACGTGATATCAGTCTGGTCAATCTCGAACAAGACTTTGTCCCCCCCCGCCTCCCACTGGAGGTTTTCTTACTCTAGTGGACTTCCTGAGCTTATCCGGTTGCTGAAAGTTGAATTTAAAGTTGATCAAGACAGAGGCAGTATTCACTTTAGGGATATAGCAAGGAAGGTATGAGATGTCTTTTGTCCCTTCAGACCCAGAGTTTCCGAGGTTCCCCAGAACACAGACACGTCCTTGCATAGATGTTGGCAAAATTGGAAAAGCCCCTGGGCTACGCTGAATTACTATTATTTTTGGGCGACTCAGCTGGGGCTCGGGAATCTCCATCCCAGGAGTTTCACAATGTTGAAGTAAATCCAGTACGACAGCTCACTTGTCAGCACTTACGATAAGCTCACCCAAAATCTCCACTCAACCCATCACAACTCCTCCCTCCCGAACATCCCAGTTGACCCATCAGGGGAAGAAAAGAAGGGAAGCTAAAAAAAAAAAAAAAAACTCCACCTTCAATTCTCACTCGTATCCTCAGATGTCAAATCTTTTAACTTACAGCAACAATGCCATAAACCCCTGCACAATCCATACAGGAAATAAAAATAAATAATGATAAAAAAGCCCAAACAATGCCGAACAGCACTGCCACATTCATCCATACGTCCGTCCATCTGTCGGTACCTATATCTGCCTGTCAATCTTTTTTTTTTCTTTCTACGCTCCAGCATCGTACTGAACCCCCCCCCTTCTTCCTCCCTCACCCGTCACACAAACCGTAGATCTCGAAACCTGACCGAACCAACCAACAACGGATCAGACCGCCAGGCGAAAAAGAAAAGAAAAAAAAGTGCCGACGGTTAGAAATCTTGCTTTCTGCAGGAACCGGGAGAATGAAGTTTTTTTTTTTTGTTTTCCCTTAAAAAAAAAAAAAAAGAATGAGAAAAAGAGATTATGTATTATAATGTTACTGTGCTATTACATTACAAGAAGCCCAGAGTGAGTATCCCATAGATAGATAGATAGATAGATACCAGCTAGGCAAATTTAGCTAGCGCATGTGCTCTCACTGTATCATACATAACATACCTTTGCGAACGATACCTGCTCCGATCTGCCAATCCGTGTTTCGCATGGGAGGGGGTTTTGTGTGTTTTGCAGGGGCGGATATGTATGCTTGGTATCGCGAGTTAAGGATGAGTACGGTAGGGTTTTGTCGTGTCGATAATGCTTACGATCTACCTGATTGATTGATGATTCCCCCCCCCCCTCCCCCGTTCCTTTTCGTTCGATCGTTCATCCCTTTATAGACTATCGTTATCATAGCTCCAAGGAAGGAAGCAAGCAAGGAAGGAAGGAAGGGTGGGTACTGGCAAGACAAGTGCGATACCTCGATAAAGTCGATGGAGAGGAGAGGAGAGGAGAGCAAATCTACGGTACAGTACAGTAGAGTATATACATATGATACTATAACATAGGCTAATCCGCGAAACAATCCTAGCCCCGCATTGTATGATACAAGTACTGTACTAGTACTGTACTCCGGCACTGTACGGCACTGTACTGTACCCTAACCAGAACATCCCACCCCGGCCACTTACACAAGCCCTATAGCACAGCACAGCAGAGCGCAACACAGACAGTACAGTAACTTGTACAATCCAGGATTACCACACGCAGCTGAAAAATCAAGTCAAACCCCACGGCATCATACGTCTTCTCGGGAAGAGAGGAAAAAAATGGGGAAACAAATCTGCTTTGTGCCATCTATCTTACGATACGCCCCACCCATCCCCGCGCCCCTCTATAATACAAGTACAGTATTGTACACTATATACTCTCAAAAGCACACAACTGGGTAGGGTGAACACATATCATACCATTACGACGATGGAAATCGTCCCAGTTACCAGTACAAGTACAAGTACAGTACAGTACAGTACAGCACCGTGACGATCGGAATTCCGAATTCTGAAACCAGCCAACCAACTTAAAAAGCGAGCGCGATACAAATTACGTTACGGTACCTGCTTCGAGATGCTTTTCCAATCCGTCCGCGTCGGGTAAACCGACCGCTCTCGCTCGCCCCCGATTTACAGTATCTATTTTACCCATCTATATATCTACAGATAGATGGATGGATAGATATAGCCCTATGGAGAGAGAGAGAGAGTGGAGGCAGGATATCGATCGGTACTTGACGAGAGAGAGAACACACACACCCTAGAAAAGAAAAGAAAAGAGATAAAGAAAGAAATAGGCAATTTCCGGATTGGTGCTTTGTTGTCGCTGTTAATTGTGGTGATTTACAACTGATAGGATGGATGCTATGTGCTTTTGGATCATTACTATACTTGTACCGGTACGATACGGTGCTACCCCCCCAGCTCTCTCTCTACACGACTTTACACTAGTACAGTACATATCGTGCACGGGAGATTTTGCTGAAATGATGGTTTATGATACTTGCGTCCTTTTTTTTTCTTTCCTTTCCTTTACTTTCGGTTCTTGTTGTCGTGTTCGATGGGCTATCTATAATGTCTATCCATCTAATTCATCTGTCCATCTGCATATAATGGACTACCCCATCTACCGGTATCCATCCATCCATCCATTCATCGGGCCTCAATCTGCCTCTGCCATGGCTGCAACGTGCCATCGCGGTAGAGTGCAGTGCATCATTGCTCGATTGAACTCTGCTCCACGAGTGCTCGGGTAAACTGGTGCGGCGGTACGGTGCTGTGCCGGTAGATGGATGTGCTGTACGAGCGCAGTGCGAGCACCGGTACTCGAGTACAGTATTGTATCACCGAGAATACTACCCGGGCGTTGGTCCGGGCCGCATGAATGCTGTTTCCCCCCCCCGGAATCTCTGTCCTACAAACTTCACGCCCCCATGCCTGAGCGAATTACTAGCAGGAATCAGAAAAATTTGGTTATTGAACTACTGTAGGTGGAATGCAGCCAAGCTAATGTGTCTACTGCAACAAGCAAGGAAATTTCCTAGGTCCAGTACCGCTATCTCATCAAAAGGAGGGAGAAAAAAAAAATAGAAAAAAAGGCACATCAAAAACATTCCCAAACTACTGTAGCGTGATGATAAAGCAACTCTTCTCCACAACGACACCTTATTTATACGCAAAAGAAAGAGGGAAGAAATGGTAAACTACAATAGGACGCCCCGGCCGCTAGACGTCGGGCAGACAGGCAAGTAAGCGGGGAAACGGACAGTGGTTCCACCTTGGTGCTCTCAGTCCTCCTCAAGTCCAGTACTTTCTCCAGATCTGCAATTCCGAATCTCCACCCTCCCACTGCAATTATCGTCAGCCCTCGGCAACAAAGTTGCGCAAATGTAACCCAGCCAGCCTGTTCCTAAATCCGTCGGTTTTCCATTCCAAGTCTTACACAGCTTCGGCTCCACAACGAGAACATGCGAGTGGGAGACTCCCCAGGCTCGATGAGGAAGGGTGATCGATTACAAATAGAAAAGGGGTAAAATTATCAGGACCCACGAACCTGGAACTCGACTTTTGTCATGTCTTGAAATCCCTCATCAATTTGGGGCTCTGCGAACCTCGAGGCGAAGCTCGTGAATGCTATCTTTGGGAGAATTGTGCGTTTCTCGGGATTGACCTATAGATGACCGAATCACGACATCCATCCCGTTTCACCTGTATCAGCGAAGATCCTCCTGTGCCGAAGAAAGAAGGAATGAAAGGAACCCGGAGCAGGGGGTATCATTAACCCCGGGTTGACAACAGCGGCAGCTCGAAGGAGAGAGGACAAGAGATGGGGAAATAAAGTACCAATTCTCCTCCAAAGGCGCGCACAGCGTCATTGTGTTGACAGAGGTCCGTTCGCGCGATAAAGTGGACACATCGGATCGGAACTTTGTGCTTCTTTGCTAGCGATACCCATGCTGCTCGCGTAGTAGCGTCGGGATTTGTATTATCTGCAGGTCGGGATGCCGTCAGTCATATAGATCCCAAACCTGAGTTTTATCTGGTCCCAATATTCGCAAAATATCACATGTATACGATGGTAGCAAAACATGAGATATCGATAGCAGGCGTATCAAATACTCATACATCCAATATACATATCAACACACGCCCATGCGTGCGGGGGGGTAAAAAAAGAAAAAAGGTAGATGCGACAGGAAAAGAAAAAGGTAAGCAAGAACATAAAAACAGACCAGGAACTCACCGACTGTAACACTCTTGCCATCCTCTAGCAGAGAATCAGCAACCTTAAGGCACTTATCCTTCGACTTTAGAACATCCTGGTTAACTCGTTCAAAGCCCAAGGACTCGAGGTTCCGCCTGTAAAAAGTAGACTTTCCTGCGCCAGGAGACCCCACAAACAAGACTATCTCTTGTTTGCTGGATTTGGTGAATGCTTTGCGATAGCCCCCGTTAACTAATACAATTCCACTTGAGGAAGTGCAGCCAATTCCATATTTAGAAACCTACCTAGGGCTTGAGTTTCACTCTTGATATACTTTGAAGGGTCAAACCGGTGAGCCATAGGCTTTGGCATCTCGCCCAAGAAGAACTCCTCGGGTGTACGAAACCCTATGCCGATATTGGCAGCCCAGTGCCTGTAAAAGATTTTAATCGGTCAGTTCCCGTTGGGTCTAGTTGCTGCCCGCATCCACCTGGCAATCTAAAAACGTGACACACGGCAAATCACTTGGATGAATGATAAACAATTCGGGAAGTAGGGAAAAGAAAGAAAAAATTAAGAAATCGACACCCCAAGAGAATAATTAAGCTTGGGGGGAGGGTTGGCGCTCAGACAAACCTGTCACTATCGGAGTGATCACCATCTCTCCCCGCGGCATCTCCGACCAGGTAAGACGCATCTAGGTCCACACCGTGTGCGTCCAAGTCGTAATCATCAACCATCTCTTCCCACATGCCCACTCTAGGCTTGCGATACCTGTCATTCGCGGTCGCAGCATAGACCGTGAGCGGAACATCGAGTGAGTCTAGTATAGCAGCAACTTTGAGTTTAAACTTTGCGAGATTAGCGCTCTCTTTTTTTGGCTGCTTAAGAGAAGCCTGGTTTGTGAATATAACGATAACATATCTGCACACAAGCGCGAAGGTCAGTAGCCACCGCCACCCAGTGACAGTTCGACCAGCGTTGGGAGGGGACGCAGTAGTCGTACCCATCATCATGAAGTTTCCTCAAAGTATCTGGAACGCATGAATTCCACCACTTCCAGTCCGTGGCGGTCTTAGCAAAAACATTCCCTGATTCTGTCGTGATCAGTGTAGAATCCTAAAAAAAAAAAAGTCGATCCCGCACACAGTGGTACCGGCCGTTAGTAACCCCACAGTACCGTACACTCAGTGCCCCACTCCAGGAATGTTGAAGAAACGCAAGAAAGAAAAAAGGAAAGAAAAAGAAAAGAAAAAAAGATATTTTCCCTTACCAGATCAAACCCAGCAACCCGTCTTTTTTCATCAGGCGCAGTCGGCCTGGTCTTATTCGGCGAGGCCCGATTGAGATATGTCCCAATGAGTAATGTGTCATCGACAACCTTCCAAGTGGTATGTTCAGGCTCCTTTTTGGAGGCAGGTTTGAAGAAGTTCACCACAGTCGCTTCTGTAAAAAAAAAAAAAAAAAGGCGGCAGAAGAATATTAGACTAATTCCCAATCCCACTTTTTTTAATAAAACGAAATAACCGAACTATTTTCGGCAACATGCCAAAAGTGTCGAGATGTACGATACGTAGTGGGGTACTTTACGAGTAGTAGTGGATTGGACCTTCCGTTTAGCAGGAGGCGCGGAAGAGCCGTCCGCGGAGCGCCTGCGTTTGGGGCTGCCTGCAGGCATGTTTGGAACGTAGGTGGAAGAGAAGGAAGAGGTAAAGACGCGACGGTGGTGATTTCCGAGATGCCGGCAATAACTGTTGGGGTTGAGGGGGAGGTGGTGGTGATGGTGGTGGTGGTGGAGGAGAAGACTCGTTGGCAGTCCCGGGAACAAGGTGGTTGATGCGTTCGTGTGCAGCCTCATTGGAAGACGTGAAGTCGGGGAAGACGCGTTTTCGCGATTAAGATTGGAACCAACTTTTGAGTCACCTGTAGTCGGTACTGAATATACGGTACATGGGAACCCCCCGAAATGTTTGCAGTGCTCGAGGAAGTTTGAATGGGCACGTTATAGCACTAAGAATTGAGCCGCGCTGTCAGATCCGTTTAGTTTTCAATTTCATGGTGCGGGGTGATGTTCTTCCCATGGATCATGTTCCGGCACTCGCAATTGGTCCACAAGCTGACAGATTTAGCGCCAAACGAATGGTTTCGTTGAATAATAGTAACAAGGGCGATAATTGGTTAAAAGCCCCAACATAACTTCTTATGATACTTGTATGATAATATTATCATACAATTCTCTGCAACAGTATGATGGGAACCGGGGTGCAGAGGGCACAAAGTATCATACCGTGCCATGCTTGAAGACGGAGGTATCATAAGGGTTTGTAAGGGAAATTCTCTCTCCCGTGTTTGAGGGTCCGCGCTAGGTTCGGGCTCAAGTTTTCAAGTAATTCACACCGAATTCTTGTACGATACGGGTACCGTACACCCTTCTATGTCTCTATCGCCTACTTACCGGTACTATTCTATTACTCAGTCCCAAACCCGAGAGCAACATATTCCTCATTCGATCAGAATCCGATGGGGAGAACTGCCGCAAGTTGCCCCGCGGGAATCACCCCTGCCCCAATGTCCCAAAAGTCTCCCAAGAGCGCCTTCGAAGGCATTATCCAAAAAAACTTACAAGGTTCAAGCGAAAAAAAAAAAACACGATACCGTACCTGCTAGGCATTGAGCACCTTTCCAGTCCCCCTCCCTCGTAAGGCTCTCTCTCTGTCATGCGGTCCGGGGTCGGCATGGTCTTTGGGGGCCCTTTGTGGCTCCGTCGCCCAGATCCGAAAACCCGTGATCGGCCCCATGGGAGCACCAGCCCGGCGTGGAGGAAAAAAAGGCGGGAAAAAAAAACTGCCGTACCATGATCTCGTACACGATCCGATCACTCGAGTTCCCTTCCACCCCTCCCCGCTGCCACTACTGTGGGCCGCTCTTAACGCTGATATCGATATCTTGCCTCACCTGGCCGCTTTCAGATACCCCCCCAACTGCTGACAATCCTCGAGTACCTCGTAATACCTGATGAACGGGAAAATCTCACGATACACAAGCAACGGAGCGAGTGGGCGTGCTAGTACAATACCGGCATCTAACGAACTAGCCAAATTAGAGGAGGGTTTCCTCCCCCTCCCTCTCCCCCCCTTTGCCGTGACAAGGTTCCCGCCCCTTCGAAGGGCGCTGAGTGACCTTCAAGGCAGGTGGGACTCTGTATGGGACCCAATTTAGGACTGTGATTTTGTTTACATAGTCCGAGCTATTAATATCATATCTGAACCTGCGGGAATTTGTAGAAAACCAACCTGAAAAGTCTTATATGCAGGAAGTCTCCAGAGTGAAAGCTGCTGAAAAAGGGTTGGGGAAAGAGGTGGAAAAAAATAATATTAGGAAAACTATTAGCGAGCAGTGGTAGTGGACAGGCACAAGAATCATTAGTTTTAGAAGTGTTAAATTCACGAAATTGGTTGTTTGAATGTATTTCTCATTGCATGCGATAAATCTATCATTGAGCTGTTAGGCACTCCCTCGGAGTGCCACCTGTTTCGAAGGTCGCTTGGCGCCCTTCGAAGAAATATCATAATATTATTCGTAGCTAAACTAAC